TGCCAGCCGCTCTCGTTCATCCGCCGGGTAGACCTGCCCTGGACGATGGCATCGTCAACCATCAGCGCGAGACGGAGCAGCCCCGGGCCGGAGACAGAGACACGGGTTCTGCTCCCCCACCTGTCGCCGCCGGGTCACCTTGGACAAGCCACTTTAGAAGCCCAGTTTCAGCCTTTGCAAAACGGGCAATAATAACACAAATCTTGGAGTCCCCCGAGGGCCTAATGATTTTTATTTTCTCTTGGTATTGAGCTTTCTCCTTGTGCGTGGCTCATGTGGGCGCCCTAAAGCTTTTCCTACTGAGCCGCGAAGACAAAGTGAGATGATACAAAGTTGAATGCATGCTATGCTTCCCATTTCACCTTTAGGTTATTTTTCATTTTTAACCCCAAACCAAAAGAATAATTTTTGAAATCTTTGGATTACCAAAAGCCAAACCACCACCCACTCTCGTGCCCAAATCCAAAACAAAAAAAAACAAGGAAGGAGATACCCTGTAGGAATGTAGGTCTAGACTGGGGGTGGGGATTACCTGTTAGAAATGAAAAGGTGGAGCAGAGAAGATCCTTTCTCATGTGACTCTTGCTGCAGGGTATTTGGGTGCATACATATTTTGGCTCAGTAATGGCCAAAAGCACAGTGTGAAGGGAGCAAGGCTGGTCCCAGTTATTGCAATAGTGCCTGGCAACCACCCGGAGAAGAACATGGTGACTCGCAAACAACTTTGGCAGCGTTCATTCAGGGGTCCTCCATCCAGACTAGTAATGTTGAAGGCAGATACCTTATTTATAAAGGAATAAGGGAAACTCAGGTTTTTATTATATGTACATTTATTGACGTTTTCCCCCATATCAACTTCTTTCAGAATGAGGAAATTGAAGCAATGGCAGCTATATATGGCGAGGAATGGTGTGTCATTGATGACTGTGCCAAAATATTTTGTATTAGAATTAGCGACGATATAGATGACCCTAAGTGGACACTTTGTTTGCAGGTATTTTTTCCCCTTTCTTTACAGTCATTTACCAGTTACAGCATTGACTATATGACTGACTTCTATTTGTATTTCCCTAACGATTATTCTTGTGTGATTTTTCTAAATTGCCTTTTTTGTTGTTGGCTTTTGTTAAGTGTTGATTATCTAAACATATGGGTAATTAAATCTCAGATCACTCTAAAGTTGTGCTTTAATTGATAGTCTCAATTTTCCCTCTCAATTATTTTAATTATGTAAGTGTTCTTAATGTACCATTGACAAAATTGAGTTTCACTTCCTCTCAGTATCCTGTCCATTTAATAGGAGAGGATCTAAACCTAGAAGATAGCTAACATTTAAGAGGGAGAATAGGTTAGTAATTTAGATGGTTCATGGAGTAAATACTCATTTTTTTATTAATTGGGAATCAGTTATGGTTAGGATAAATAAATGAAAAGGTCAGCATGGCTTTCTATTTTAATTTAATTGCTGCCTATACTTTTCAACGTAAGAGATGCCAAATTGAGTTATTGTCAGTATTTGTTATTGCAATAATACTGATTTGAATAGAAATCTGTATGAGTCTCTAAGTGTTAGCTGATAATGTATGTAACTGTATTTAGTAGGATTTTTTTTTTTTAGTATTTCTTTAGAAAAGATCCCTGGAACATGTTATAGTGCCGCTCCATTCATTTAGGGTTAGGGTATAATGAGCCTGTTTCAATTGCTCTTTTCCTTTCATCTTTACCCTCCCCACCCTGATTTTCTAACTTTTATACTTTCCTCAAATTGTGAGCTCCTTCTTAAAAGTTAGGCATTGCCATTAGCAACATATTTAAGGTAGAAGCATAAATATGAGGAGGGAATTCTCTGTTGAGATTTAACAAAACAATGGCTTTGGTTTTTAATTTGGCAAGTTAGAATTTGTCTAGTAAGTAATACTACTTTTTTATAAGTAATACTACTTTCGAGTCATGAAATCTAAACATTTGTATTTAAACTGCTTTGTAGGTGATGCTACCGAATGAATATCCAGGCACAGCTCCACCTGTTTATCAACTGAAGTAAGCTCTATCTTCTGTTTTTAAAATTGTTGTATCTTTTTAAGTTTAATGTCTCTGAAATCAGCATGGTTTTATTTTATTTAAAAAATTTTGTAGGTTTATTTTGTTCATTAGATTCCACATATAAGTGAGATCATATAGTATTTGCCTTTCTCTGACTGGCTTATTTCACTTAGCGTAATACTCTTCAGGTGCATCCAAGGTAAGATTTCCTTCTTTTTTACGGCTGAGTAGTATTCCATTGTGTAAATCTAGCTCTATTTTCTACGTTTATATTTTTATAAAAATCATAGTTTTCAAAGATTATTTTCTCTATACTGTACATTGTGTTTATAAAATATCTTATCAAAATGTATGTAGAAATTAATATCTTTTGGACTTGGTATAGAGCATTTAAATAAAAATTTAAATTATACAAGAACACGGTGAAGTATGTCACTTAATATTTGTCTATAGAGATGGAGAAGGGACTTTAGACAGACTAGTAATCTAGAAACCCTGGCCTGTAGAGTTTCTCCTAACCTGGTTCTCCCACAGGTCTAGCCAGTTCCTTGGCATGCCTCTACCTAAGACTGCCTGCCTTCCAGGAATTACCCTTGGTGCTTCTTTCTGCCCATTGTTGTTGAGGAACCATCTTCTCAGCAACCAAAGCATAATCTTAATGAGTCATGAACTGTTGATTGCAAGTGACCTTTGCTTAACCTTGCCTATTTGACCTCCTAAAATGTATAAACCTCTGTGAACAGAATTGCATTGAATCTCAATTACTAAATTTTTAGCTGTCAGTGGGAATGTTTTAAAACCATAGCAGTAAAATTTGCTGTTAATAATGGGCCTGTAATTTTAAAATTTTATTTATTAAAAATGATAGATGTAATTATAGAATGCTTGTAAACATAAATGCCCTTTTCAGAAAAAGTTAAATTTTTTTCAGTCACGTGGCAACCAGCTTATTTGTTAGAGTTGTTTTTGAGACACCAGTTAGAAAAAATTGGGAATTCCTGATAGTGTGGCAAATAATGTGAGTCTGGCAATTTAGATTCTGGAACCTGTTCTGCCACTTAGGTGAACTTGGGCAGTTTTATGATATCCTATGAACTCACTCTTGTTTTCAAACCATATTTTAATTGAATAGTACTGGTGTTGGCTTCATCACGGTTTCTTGGGAGGACTAAATGAGTCAATGCCAGTGAAGCGCTTTCGAACTGTATTGATTTAAGATAACATTTTGATGAAAATAGATAATTTAAAAAGTTAAATAAAACTAATTTGTGATCTAATCCATTTATATTTGAGATACAGACAGAATCCTCGAGTAATCTTTATTGTCTTTAATTTTAGTGCTCCTTGGCTTAAAGGGCAAGAACGTGCGGATTTATCCAATAGCCTTGAGGAAATATATATGTAAGTGACAGGTGATTAAAAAAATTCTATTAGTGATTCTGTTGTGGGCTTTTGTTGGAACTGTGATATGTAGGGCCCTTTTCCAAATTTTTTGTTAAGCTGCCTTTTCATTAACAAAAAGGATGCACTTGAAGAGTCCTTGAAAGATTGCTTATATAATTTATATATACATTTGATATCATAGGCTATATTGAATGAAACATGTAATACTGGAATCCTAAGCATAATTATTACTCTTATGTACTTTTAATAGTAATTTTCTTGTATTATGCCATAAGACTTAGAGTCAGTTAAATCTGTATTTTTTACTGTTCCATTTATTCAACAAATAGTATATGTCAAGCACTGTACTAGATCTTGGATACACATAGTTAGCAAAAACAGAAATGGTCCCTGTTTTATGGCATTTAGAATTCACTGATAGGAGAGATATTACTTATAACATCATAAAAATGAAAGTAAAACTGCAGCTGTGATAAGTTCTGTAAAAGAAGGATATTAATGTGTAGTACTAATTAAGTTTGAAACAAGACCTGAGGTCAGGGATAGCAATTTGACTTAACAGCTGAGTTACTTAGGTGAAGATAACTCTAGTGAAAGGCCACAGCATGTTCAATGGCTCTATGTCAAGGAACTTGGCACATTTCAAGACACAAAGTAATGGTGGTATGAACTGGGAAGAGAGAGGAGGGAAGAGAGGGGAGCTTGGTAGGGAAATGACCTCGCAAGATAGGTAGGGAAGTCACACAGAGTCCTGTAGCCATGCTAAACATTATCCTAATACTCAGGGAAGCAGAGAAGGGTGTGATGCCATGATAAGATTTTCATTTTGAAAACACCTTCTGTTTCCGTGTGGAGATTGATTGGAAGGGAGCAAGAATAGATGTGGGACATCAGTTAGGCTAATGCAATTGTCCAGAGAAGATATGACTGTGATTTGGGTTAATTTTAGTAAGATATATTAAGTTAGTAAAACAGTGCTCTGGAATACCAGTTTTACTTTAATTCACAAACTAGTAAGGATTGTCTTGTATGCTCTAGGCAACTACCCCATTTGGCACAGTGACAGTACCCTCCCTCTGTATCCCTGGGATCTAGGCCAGGTTTCTTTCCTTCCAAAATAATTAATTTTAAAATGGTATGATACTATTTGTTTCTTCCTAGAGAAAGTGAGGTCTTCCTTGAATTCCCAGGTTTATACTTGACTCTGGAAGTAACCAAGAACTGGACATACCAATAGGGGATGTCTCCATTTAGTGATTCCATCATCCTCAGCATTTAAGTATTATTTATTTCCTAAATTAAATGTTTCCTGATACCTGTCCATAACCTTACTGGCCACTTCAACTTTTATGTCCCCAACAAACTTCTTTCTGAAATTCTTTATTTATGCTTATCTACCAGTTTATATCCATGGTTAAAATAGAGTAAGGTAAATATATTGCAAATTTGGTCACTAGTGATGTCATTGTATTTCATTTTTTGGTTTTTACTTGGCCTCTATAAATTGGTGGGTTGAACACTTCCGCTTTCTTGAAAATTTTCCCACACTTGGCTTCTGTCATGTTAGTTATATTTATCAGTTAAAATTTTCTCCTACCTATGCACAGTGTCATGCACTCTGTCTCTCTCTATCCAAAAAGTCCTCCCTTTACTAAGAGATATGCTCCCATAGGCCACAACTTGCTGTTCTCCCTAACTAATTCAGTTAAACTATTTAAGGATTAGGAAGCATCAGAACTTAAAAGCAGTTTGTTCTAAAGATAGAATATCGTTCATACTGTCTTCTTTATTATAAGTGCTTGAAAAACTCAAGTTCAGTGGTACTATTTTCACACATGTGATCTAAATAGAAATATGCATTCCGTTTTTTAAAGTTTTGTGTGATAACTTTTAATCATCTTTTTCCACAAAATTCCAGCAGGGGGCAGCAAGTGAAAAGCATTGGCCTTTGAAAATTAAACATGAGATAAATATATGGATATAGTTCTTTAATGTTTATATTTTCATTATGTTCTAAATATTATAAGTATCTAGATTTTCATATTAATTTAGCATCACTTTGAATGCTAAATTTGATTTTTTTCTAGATAGGAAGATGAATTATAGTTTCAGGAGGTAAGAAGTCAGAAAACTAGCAGTTTCTTCATAAGCATTTATTAATTATCTCCTATATGCTGGCACTCTATTAGGAGTTTGAATTTAAAAAATAAGATGTGTACCAATACAGTATTCTGACATAATCACTGAGAGGTTTGGAACAAGTGCTGTAAAAGCATTTTTTAGAGATTTTAGTAACTATCTCTGGGCATGTGGCTGAGGTTGTAAAGGAGGGTTCCATTGTGAAGGTGTCTGTTGAGCACAGTGTTTGCTAGGTAATCAAAGGGGGAAAGGTTTTCTGGTAGACGGGACTGCATGAACCAAATCATGTAGGTGTGAAGCAATCTGGCGTCTTCAGAGTTCAGAAAGGAGTTTAAGATGCCAGGTATATAAATTGAGGTAGATGTAAGGAGGAAGAACCTGTAAGCTGGGATAAGGAGTTTGGGTGTTATCTTGTAGGCTGTAGGAGTTTTAGGCAGGGGAATGATTTAATCAGATTTATGTGGCAGTGTGCAGGATGGGCTGTGAAGAGACAGAAGGAAGGAACACCGTGGGAAGAGCAGTCAGTAACTCAGGAGGGTGGTGATCGAGGCCTTTATTAAGGCAACAAGAATGCTGGTGGAGAAAAATGGTCAGTTAAATAAATACTTAAGAATATAAACTAGGCTTTGGTGATTGATTAGATATAGATTACTTTGCCTGTCATATCTTAATTTTGTTTAAATATTTTGCATGTGGATATTTTGAATATATGAAAATAACTATTTGAATAAAACCAAAGGTAAATAATATTTAAAAATACTTAGAACAATTGGTGTTAAGAGAAAATGAAAGGGATTAGACTTTTTCATAGTATTTGAACTTATGATGATCCATTTCAACAATATTTAATTTAAAATCCAAGAAAATGATTATTTTAAATTACCCCAGCTCTTCACATTTTGATATACTGTGGAGCCTTAGATTTAAAACTTGGAGAGTGACGCTTGACAAAGCAAAAATTGCTCCAGACAAAGTTAAACAGGCAAAGAAAACTGTTCAAGACTATTGTAATAGGGGAGAGAGGCCAGAACTTAGTTGGAACTCAACTTTCTATAACAAAAGGGAGGAGGATTTTTAAGGGCTGGGATGAGCTAGTAGGAAAGTACTGGAAGATATTGGGGGGAGGTTGATTAGTGAGGTGTTTCTAGTACATTGCTGTTTCCTGAGTGCAAGTGAATGTTTCTATTACTAGGCCATCTGTGTTTGCTAATTATTGCTCATCAGGTTAGGCTCCTACCCTCCCACAGAAAGTGGGAGATAGGGCCACTGTCTTTCTTGATGATTACATTTCAAAAGGGCGGCTCGCAGATCCTTGAGAAAGACACTCCAAGGTTGTAAAACTGACAGGAGTCTTCTAAAAAGATGCCCTTGCATCCCAAAAGAGCAAAGAATTTATAACAAGTTTTCTAAAAATGTTCTGCCCGGCCGGGTGTGGCTCAGCGGTTGAGTGTCGACCTAGGATCCAGGCGATCAGGGTTCGATTCCTGGTCAGGGCACATGCCCGGGTTGCAGGCTCAATCCCCAGTCGGGGGTGTGCAAGAGGCGGCCGATCAATGACTCTCTCATCATTGATGTTTCTGTCTTCCTCTCCTTTCCTCTCTCTGAAATCAGTAAAGATATATTTAAAAAGAAAAGAAAAGAAAATGTTCTAAGAAAAGGGAGGTCATGGTCTAGAGTCAGGTTCTGCCTGTCTGAAGTTGATTGAGCCAAGCTGAAGTTTTTGTCTTGGTCAGGCCTCTGGAGTCAGTTTCTGAAATAGTGTGACCTCTTTGATTCTGTTTTCTCATTTGTAAAATGAGGATACTAGAATAATATTTTGAGGATTAAATGACATAATTCATGTAATGTACTTTAGAACTATAGAATAACACCTCTCATTTTTGTTTTTGTTTTTTTTTTTTTAAACATATCTTTATTGATTTCAGACAGAGGAAGGGAGAGGGAGAGAGAGAGATAGAAACATCAATGATGAGAGAGTCATTGATCTGCTGCAGCCCACAATCCAGGCATGTGCCCTGACCCGGAATCGAACCCTGATTGCCTGGATCCTAGGTCGATGCTCAACCGCTGAGCCACGCCCGGCCGGGCTCATTTTTGTTGTTCTTACTAAAAGAATCGTCTCATCTAATTTTGTCATTTGAAAAATGAGATGACAAACTGAGAGACATGGAGTGATTTGTCTAAGGTCATACAGCTTAGTAGTGCATTTTAGTGAGTGCTTTTACCCTTAAATCAACAAATATAAATATTGGAAAATTAAAAATACAAAAATTAGAGCCACAAGTAAAAGTGAAGTCACAAGTAACTTGACTTTGTTTTGATCATTCTGAGTTGGATAGTAGTTACTAAGTATAGTTATTCACACAGTATCTCAACTGAATATCAGTTTTTAATCCAGCTTGCTCTTTTATTCAATTTGAAACTTTTGTTCCAGACTTTTAATATTTAGCTGCTTTACCATAATTTAACTTAATAAGTAAAAGCTCAATGTCTCATTCTCTAGTGAGTTCTTAGATTTTGCACCAGAGCCTAGGATTTAGCTGACTTCCTCCAGAACTGTTGGGGGAGTGGAGGAGCAGCCTAGGAAGGAGGACTCCCAGCTTTTGTTTGTTTTAATTGGCAAAAATTTGAAAACCAAATCCTAGTCNGAGGAGCAGCCTAGGAAGGAGAACTCCCAGCTTTTATTTGTTTTAATTGGCAAAAATTTGAAAACCAAATCCTAGTCAACAGTTAAAAGATAAGAACAAACTGTTGTCACAAGAGAAAACACAAATACAGCAGTAATAACAAACAAAAACAAAAACCACCATCTCTAGTAGGATTTTGGGGTCCAAGGGAAAGAATAATTTTCATTTTCTTTCAGGAAACCTTTCACACCCACTACAACTTCCACTGGATTTCAGTAAGGCTTGTTAAGTACTAGGGGAGAAGGAAGCATCAGTCAATAATACTGGGCAGAGTGCTGTTGTATATTCTGCAGGAGGTCGTGAGGAGAGGTGATTTGCAGTTAAGGTTTAATTTCTTCTGTATTATTTGGAAATATTACTTATTAATTGTAGCAATTCTTCCAAGGTGTTATCCCCCACAACAAAATCTGAATGTGAATGTGTATTCACAGAGGGATGGTTTTTTTTCTTAAAGGGTGAATTAACAAAGCATTTTCTACATGTCTTCTATATAGTGGGTATTCAGTAAACACTAGGTACTACCACTTTTGGTTAGGATGATGTGAAGAATTCAATAGAATGAGATTAGGCGATGGAGAGAGTTAACATACAAAACCTTAAGTTTGTAGGGATAATGATTACAAATACAAATAAGGGACCCAGTTTTCTCATTTATTACCATACCCCAGGGCTGCATATAGTTCTCAGTTTATAGGCTCTTAAAGATTTGTTGAGTGTATTAAGGTAATTTCACTTAAAAAGAAACTACTATCGTAAACTAAGACAAGATGCTCTAAATCTCTGTTATAGATGAGGAAACTGAGTCTTGAGTTCAGGTGGCTACTTGCCTAAAGGCACAACTACTTGACGGCAGAGCTAACTGTAGTGGGCAACCTGGGCTTTGGAGTAAAGTCTACATTTACGTTCTAGCTATGAGCTTCTTATTTCTTATATGACTGTCTTAGACAAGTTAACTGATCTCTCTAGGTCTGTTTTCTCATTTGTACAAAGTATTGATACATATAATGTTCTTGGGGCTTAGTACATACTCAATACATTTTACCTTTCTCTGTCTCTGTACCTCTATGTCTTATTGAGAAGAGAGGATGGGAGTGGAAATTGCTTAAAAGAAACTCAACCAACATTCTCAGTTTTTAAAAACCTTTCCAACTGACTTTCCCTACCCCCTCTTAAAAAGGCAGGTTACCAAAGAACAGGGGATTGTTTTACTGCTAGGGAGTTATGGGTGAGGTGGGAGGATTTGAATGCTTTTAAAAGTGTTTCTACTGTATGCGTGTTTTGAAACTTTCCTTCCATGGGTACTGATGAGTGGTGATAAAGAGAAATGATGGTTTCTAGGAGAACTTACAGAGGAAGTTGATAAGGTGTTGTTATGAAGTGGTGTGGTGATTTCTTTACAGCTTATCTAACATTANGACAGCGGAAGTTGATAAGGTGTTGTTATGAGGTGGTGTGGTGATTTCTTTACAGCTTATCTAACATTAGTATCATTCTCTAAAGAGAAGACACTTGGCCTTTATTTTATTGTTTTTACCATTATTTAATATAACTCTGGACATGAACCGTGACACATTCTTTTTCTCAATGATCCTTTGAGATGGATTTAATTATCTGAGGCAGGGAGACATTATTTGGAACCAAAATGAATCAATGCGGGCAATGGAATATTTGTCAAAAACAAAATATGAATATAAAATTTTTACATTGATTTGCTTTTAAGTCTTGTAAATTGGCTTTCTGAGGGAGTTCCTCAAATGCTTTGTATTCTTTGTTGAAATAAGCATACCAAATGATAAGTGTACCAAGTATGTGGTTTGAAATTGGTCAGAAAATTTAGAAAAGCAAGCAGTGATTAGACATTAATACTGAGAAACTAAATCACATTTACATCTATCTAATTCAGGGGTGGGGAACATTTTTTTCTGCAAGGGCCATTTGGATATTTATAACATCATTTGTGGGCCATACAAAATTGTTGTTGCTATGAAAAAAGCTCCTAGGTTTATTGAATTTCTAGTCCCTCCTGCGGGTGCCTGGGTAGGACCAGACCAAATGATTTCACAGGCCTTATATGGACCACAGGCCGGATGTTCCCCACCCCTGATCTAATTCATCCAGTTCAGGTTCATAAATTTTCTTTCTCTTCTTTGGTTGCAACATTTCTGTTTATTTTAAGTAAGCAATGTTAATGTTGGAGCCAGTTGGAATTTTTAATGTTGATATAAACTACCCACAAATGTTAGTAAATCTCATGTTTTTATGAATTCCTTTTTAAAAGACATGGCTAGATGCATATACTTTCTTAGATTATAAATATATCTGTATTTTTTGAATTTGAGAAGGAATTTTTTTTAAATAACATTTTTCCCCCCTGAATTTTGTTTAGACAGAATATTGGTGAAAGTATTCTTTACCTGTGGGTGGAGAAAATAAGAGATGTTCTAATACAAAAATCTCAGATGACAGAACCAGGTAGGATTGAAAAATATTATCAGTGCCATTTTAACTTACAGTAATTAAATTTTCACATAGATATTCTAATTGAAGTTTTTAATGAAAATATATATTCTGTTATATGGTTTGCATATGAAAAAATGTAAGTTTTCTGGAACATTCATTTGCTCATGTAATTATGGTTCTTTGTATAAGGTTTAGCTTCTTTGGTTTAATGTTATAGTCTTAGAGAAATAGCATTTTATGGTTAAAGAACTCAAATCAGAAAAGCACTTCTTTCTTTGACTATTGTTAAGGAGTTATGTACCATGTAACATTCTTCATGAATTATTAGACTGTAAGTTAGACATTATGTTTATAGAAATGTGTATAGAAAAAGAACTTTGAAAAACATACTGATATATTTAGGATATAAAAATTGACTTTGAAAATTGAGTTTTTAAATTGAGTTGTAATTCACATACCATAATTATTCACCCTTTAAAAATGTATACTTGAGTGGTTTTTAGTATATTTCAAAGTTGTGCAACTATCACCTCTAATTTCAAGACATTTGAAAATTGATATTTTTCTCTATTATTCTCTTATTGAATCATTAAGTATATAACAACATGGGAATTTCTAGCGTTTCCTATTTACTTGACTAGTCTTTTTTTCACTTACTACTAAGACCTTTTAGAGAGGAAAGTAACTCTAATTAACCTGATTTTATTTCCAGATAGAGTTTTATTGTTATCATTAATAGAATCATTTTCAACTTGGAAAAATAGGGATTTTAAAAAACCCCATTAGTTTATTTATAAATGCTTTAGAAGATTATTACAGAGAACCAGTTATTTAGGATGCTCTTAGCAAAATCAGTATACATTTAAAGTCTATAGTATATCTTTTTTCAGAACATTTTACTATTTTTCTATAGAAGCAAATGTTTTTACTGCTTCCATGAAAACCAAAGGAATAAATAGTATGAAGATATTTTGTCCATATGACAATCTTTTTGAAGTGTTTTTCTTAACTTTTTATGATCCATAAATGATTTTACAGTATTTCAGGGCATCTATGAGAAAAGTAGTCTCAAAACAAAATTGATTTTTGCCAGTCCACTATTCTAGAGTGTGGGATAATTGCAAAAATGGAATGTATACCAGTAAAAATTTAGAACTCTAAAAAGTTTGGGATTATTCAACTCTTAGGAAATTAAAAAAAGTAGTCATCTTAAAAATATTTTCCCTTTCCCACCGATATTCATAAATTAGTTTAATCACTCTTCAGATTTTAGAGTTATTGATTTGTATAATTTATGATTTTTAGAAATTTTGTTTGGAATGTTTTATCAAAAATTGTTTTTGTAGCCCTAGCCAGTTTGGCTTAGTGGTTAGAGTGTCGGATGTGGATTGAAGGGTCCCAGGTTTGATTCTGGCAAAGGGCACGTACCTCAGTTGCAGGCTTGATCCCCAGGCTTGGTCTGGGCGCGTGCAGGAGGCAACTAATAGATGTGTCTCTCTCACATTGATGTTTCTCTCTCTCCTTTCCCTTCTCTCTGAGAAGCAGTGGAAAAAATATCCTTGGGTGAGGATTTAAAAAAAAAAAAAATNCCCAGGCTTGGTCTGGGCGCGTGCAGGAGGCAACTAATAGATGTGTCTCTCTCACATTGATGTTTCTCTCTCTCCTTTCCCTTCTCTCTGAGAAGCAGTGGAAAAAATATCCTTGGGTGAGGATTTAAAAAAAAAAAAAATTGTTTTTGTAGATGTCATATAAAAAGGGGAGGATTAGTAATTCCGAAGAACTAATATAAGCTAGTGATCAGGATATCTCATGAGAATTTTCCTTCCTCAGGCAACCACTTGACAAGTAATGTATTTTGATTTTAATGTTAAATCTTCAGTAGAAATTTATTCTTTATTATTTCATATTATTTTTCTACTTTAGAAACATTAAATTTTGAAGTAATTGTATACAACTATTAAAATTTTTTTCAAGTTCTGAACTAATTTTAGACTTACAGAAAAGTTGCAGAAATGGTACAAAGAACTTATATCTCTCACCCTGCTTCCCCTAAAGACATCTTACATAACCACTGTATAATTATCAAGAACAGGAAACTAATATTGGTATAACATCGGTATAATATTAACTAAAGAACTTACTCAAATTTTATAATTTTTACACTAATGTCCTTTTTGCTTTTATAGGATCCTGTCCAGGATTCTATGATGCATTTAGTTGTTATTTCTTCTTACTCTCTAGAAAGTCTCTAAACAGTTCGTCAGTCTTTCTTTGACTTTTGTGACCTTTTATGACTTGACACTTTTGAAGAGAAGTGATTGACTGTGTTGTGGAATGTTCCTCAATTTGGGTTTGTCAGTTATTTTCTCATGATTTGAATAAGATTAGGCATTTTGGCAATAATACCACCAAAATTATATTGTGTCCTTCATAGTACATTATATCAAGCAGCTCATGGTATCAGTATGCTTCATTATTGGTGATGTTTAACCTTGATCTTTGGTTAAGGTTGTGTCTGCCAGATGTCAGCACTACAAAGTCCCCGTTTTAGTCAAGGTTCTCCAGAGAAACAGAACCAATAGGAGGTGTATATATTTGTGTATATGTGTGTGTATGTGAGTCTGTGTGTGTATTTAAAAAAGAGAGAAAAGAAGAAAGAGGTAGGGGCGAGAAGGAGGGAGAGAGAGGGAGTGATTGATTTATTTTAAGGAATTAGCTCACCAGATTGTGGAGTCTGGCAAGTCCAAAATCTGCAGGGCAGGCTGAAGACCTAGGCAAGAATTGATGTTGCAGCTCAAGTTTGAAGGCTGTCTGCTGGCAGAGTTCCCTTTTCCTCTGGGTAGGTCAGTCCTTTTTCTATTAAGACTTTACCTGGATGAAGCTTACTCCCATTATTGAGGGCAATCTGCTTTACTTAAAGTCATCTGATATGAATGAGAATTCCATACAAGAAATACCTTTACAGAAATATCTAGAATAGTGCTTGACCAAGTATCTGGGTGCTGTGTCCTAGCCAAAATGACATATAAAATTCATCATCAGAGTTACTGTCTTTCCCTTTGTAGTTCATAAGTGTCTTGGCAGAGATACTTTGAGGATATGCTAATATCCTATTCCTTCTTAAACTTTCACTCACTAAGCTTAGTATTCATTAATGTATCTTGTCAACAATATTTATTACAATATTTAGGTGTTTGCCTAATGGTGGTTCTCATTTCATTCTTCTACATTTATTAATTGGAATTCTATTTAATTATTTATATTAGTATGAACTCATGTGTATTATGTTATTCCATGAATTAAAATTTCATACTATCATTATTTTGTTGCTCGGATTGTTCCAGGTATGGGCTTTAGGAGCTCCTTTGGGTAGGGTCCTGTGTTCTTTTGATAAGCTTCTGTCTTGTTTTGAGCATTTTTAAAAATCTCTGGAATCATACAATATTCTAGTATCACCTTGTATTATCCTTGCTCCAATCCTGGAATCAGCCACTTTTTGTTGAAGCCCTGAGTCCTTGTATTGAAGAATGGTGTTTAGAGAATAAGATAACAATTTTTAAGTGTAATTTCTTACTGTTTTTGTGGATCACTCATACTGTCTCATATGCACATAGACCCAGAGGTAAAGAAGGAAACTGAAGAAGAAGATGTGGGATGTGAAGATGATATCCTTTTAGCATGCCAACCAGAAAATCCACTTAAAGCATTGGATTTTGATGTCAGTGAAAATCAAACAGGTATAGTGTTACTAACTAGTTTCTTTTGAGGAAAGTGGGATGGTAATATGAATTGTTTTGAATACGGTTTAGAAATTTAGTAAACTCCCACATGTTAGGAAATAGTTATTAATATGTGAAAAATTGAGTTTTGTTTTTTTTTCCTGCCTGCTGGCCATTTTGGTGTTTGCTGGGTCTATCAGAATGGTGAGGGGGGAAAATAGAATTTTTTTTTGCTACTCTCTAGAGTTTTGAATAGTGATGGGAGAAATTGAAACAGAAAAGCTGTGTTTTCAGTTCACATTTCAATTCACACTTAGTTTTGTTTTGAAATTCTTAGCTATCTCCTGATGTCTCAGAGTTATATTTTAGTCTATATTCACAAAATAAATATCATAATTGAAAGTACAACCACCGAATTAAGATTTTAGTTTTTGCTTAAGGAAATTTGTTCCATAATCTAGTGGTATTCAACTTATGAACGGTAAATCAGTTCTGTGTTAATATCAGAAAGTTTGTTCTATTTTAGTATTTTAAAATTTTGAGTGATATTGTAAGTTTCCTCAAATCTCTTACATATGTTAGTTGAAGTATTTCATCAATTGACTTAGTAAGATTCAACAGGTCAGTGAATAGAAATAGGTAAAATTTTTAATTCTTTTTTCCTGAATAACTTTTCATCCTAAATGAAGCAGGTACAGCAGCCAGGATGGTTGGTAAGTTTCTCTCTCTTTTTTTAATTGAATTTATTGGGGTGACATTGGTTAATTAAATTATATAGGTTTCGGGTGTACAATTCTATAATACATCATCTGTCTACTGTATTGTATGTTGACCACCCCAAGTCAAGTCTTCTTCCATCACCATTTATCCCCCCTTTACCTTTTTCTACCCCCCTCTTTTTGGTTGGTAAGTTTCTCATCAGAGTTAAGGGTAAATTAGTAGTTCTTAAACTTGTTTAAGAGGTTGAATAACTGGAAATTATGACACCCTATGGAATACCAATTTGGTGTGTTATTGATATATTTAATTCAATTATGAAGCAGGAACAGCTTTATTAGCAGAAGACATTATATTATAGCTATATAAACTAATGTCATAGGTTTCCCAACCCTGAGGTTCATCAACAATATAATGGGTAAATAAATTATGGTATATTAGCAGCTGTCAATATTTTTGGTCTCAAGACCCTTTTTATACTCTTAAAAATTAGTTATACCAACTTACGCTGTTGCAACAGTCCAGGATTTGAGTCCCAACCCACCACTTTCATTGGGTGACCTTGGCAGGTGAAAATCATTTATAAGTCAAGTAGATTTATGTGCAATATATTTGGAAACTTTTTACTTAAAATTGTAATTTAATTTTAATAGACAACTATTAATTGCTATTTGGGTTGCTTTGCCATATAATTTACATTTCTTTCCCAATTCTCCCCCTCCACCCATACCATTGCCAATTACTTTAGAATTTGAATGTATAAATTTTAAAAATAAAAGTAATATAATTCTTTAAATTTGTAGAAATAGAAGAATTACCTCCGATTGATCATGGCATTCCTATTACAGACCGACGAAGTACTTTTCAGGCACATTTGGCTCCAGTAGTTTGTCCCAAACAGGTAAAGTTACTGTGTCCAGCTCACTTTGATGTTTAACCACAATAATTCAAGTAAATGGTTTTGTAGTAATAGCTTTATTTTTACTGTTATAGTTTAATTTTTATGTACGATAAAAACTTTGCTCATTTTCCTACCCCCAAACTACTGTGAATCATGGAAGATTTGTCTTATTTCTATTTGTCACTGCTTTTAAAATTGTATCTAAACTCTAATTAGGGCTTAACCTCCTAATGGGTTTTCAAATAAGAAAAACCTATTGTGGTGCTATAGAAAATTATGATGTTTAACAGTTTGTTAAAAAGAATTATTTGTGCCCTGGCCAGGTGGACTCAATTAGTTGGAGCATCATCCTGTACACCAAAAGGTTGCAGGTTCAATTCCCAGTGAGGGCACATACCTAGGTTGCGAATTCAGTCACCAGTTGGGTCGCATATGGGAGGCAACCAATCGATGTTTCTCTCTCATGTAGATGTTTCTCTCCCTTCCTCTCTTAAAAAAATAAAAAATTGGCCTATGGCATGGGAGTTCTAGAAAACCAAGTCTGTTCCATTGTTGCCCAATGCTAAATTAAGGGAGCAGTGGACAAACTAGCCGAGCCTATTCTTCCCCACTTGAATTCCTTTTCCTTTCTGCTTTCTGATCTTAGGTGACTTGATTTCTACCAAAGGATAATATCAAATGGGAGACTTTCATTTAAAAACTATATTCTTATCTTGGCTTTCTTTGTCTCCTCATCAACAGATTCATTTTCTTCTCCCTTGCTGCTATAATCTAGCCTAGTTTAAACCTTATTGATGTAAGGGACAGTTTCAGTACTAGTATCTATAAAGTTAAATTAACAACAAAAGTCTTATTAACTTAGCATAGATTTTAAGCATTAGTCTCTTCCCTTTGGTCTTACAGCTACTCTATTCTCTAAATTCTTCTAAAGTCCTAACCTATAGGGATACAGTTCTTTGTACCAGGCTGCCCTTTCACCCTGTTTTTTAATCTCTGGAAGAGGCAGTTCTTTTCTTCATTGATTTGTGGTCAGGATAACAGCTTTTGGCACAGGCTTCTGGGCTTTTTTCTCAGGAGCCCTATTTTGCTCTTGGCCCTTGCTCATAATCGCATTGTCAGGGTCCTCTTTGGACATTCTATTCTGAATCTGTTCACTCTGGACCCTCTTTCTGTTTCTGATTATATTCATTTAGACTTATAGGATCATAATCTGTGAGAGCTGAAATAAATCTTAGAGGTCAATGTTCATTTTATTGATCAGAAATCTGAGCACCTTAAAGGTTAAAGAATGATAAACATAAGATTGCACAATTTCTGCCCAGCCGGGCGTGGCTCAGCGGTTGAGCATCGACCTAGGATCCAGGCGATCGGGGTTCGATTCCCGGTCAGGGCACATGCCCGGGTTGCGGGCTCGATCAGTGACTCTCTCATCATTGATGTTTCTCTCTCTCTCTCTCTCTCTCTGTCTCCTTTCCTCTCTCTGAAATCAATAAAGATAGATTTAAAAAAAAAAAAAAAGATTGCACAATTTCTGATTCAAGTTGGTCTTCCTGACTCCAACTCAGTCTTCTTTGCCTCCAGTATTTCTTCCATACTCCTTGCCAATTGTCTTTCTAAAAAAGATCTGACCATGTGTCTCTCCTCAGGCCCTGCTCACATAATCCTTACAGATTTACATTCTCTACAAGGAAAAATCTAACCTTGTTGTACAAAGTTCTTTGTGATATGAGCCTAGTTTTATCATTCCTGATAGTCACTTTTTGAACCTTTCTCCTTTATGTCCTTGCTAGGGTTGCTAGATAAAATACAGGATGCCAAATTAAATTGGAATTTCAGATAAACATTATTACATGGGACATACTTATAATAAAAATTATTTGTGATTTATCTGAAATTCCAATTTAAACATTATTTTTATTTGCTAAATTTAGTGCATCTGCACATGCTGTTTCCTCTGAATGTAATGGCTTCTTTCTTGCCCTATCCCCTTCTTCCGTTTTGATGAAGAAAAATTGCCTCTTTTCTTTCAAGACTTGGCTCATGTTACTTCCTTTGTGGACCTTATAGGACTTCCAGAGAGAGTTTTGGTTTGGTAACATTTGGAACACCATTATTGTGCACCTATCATACTGGATACATAAATTTGGTAAATTTTCAGAGCTCATTTTTAGAAATTCTCACATTTACATGTAAAATTCTCTACAAAGGGAAAAAATTTCATGTTTAAGTATCCTAGGCCAATTGTGAGTACATGTTTCTGCCCCTGAAATGAGGAGAAAACTTTGGAAATGGCTTTTTCAGAGTGTAGAACATTCTTTAAATAACTTTTAATACCACATATTTATATCAATATGCTTTAAGATATTTTTCTAGTATTTACAGAGAAATTAAAATGTGTGTGTGTGTGTGTGTGTGTGTGTATATATATATATATTTATTTATTTATTTATATTACTGCTGTTTTTAAGGTGAAAATGGTTCTTGCCAAATTGTATGAGAATAAGAAAATAGCTAGTGCCACCCACAACATCTATGCGTACCGGTGAGTGATCATTACAGTATTAGGAATGTGCAGTTTGTAAAAAATGGGAGAAACTGATGCATGATTGTAAAAAATAATAACTGTTATGCATTTTTTCCATTATAAAAGTAATCGTGTAGAATATTTGGAAACTGCAGAGAAGAAAAAAAAAAATCAGAGGGAAAATCAGCTATATCCTGCCATTAAATATAACCGATAATATTATAATACATTTTCTGTCTTTTCTATGCAAAGTTTATCTTTTCAGTGCTTTGCCCTGGTATCCTATTTTTTTCTTAATTTACAAAAGCATTTGTTTCATGTTATTATAATTATTTTATAAACATTATTTTAATGGTTGTATAATATTTGCCTGAGGCTCCAAACTACAATTTATTTAACAATTTCCTTTTTAAAAAAATTTATTTCATTTATTTAACGATTTCCTTTTTATTTTAGCTTTTCATATGTTTCACTATCATAAAGAATAGTCTGTTAATATCTTTCTTTACTTTTTAGATTATTTCCTCAGGATAGGATCTGGTTGCTTCAGATACTTTTCTGAAATGAAATGAGGGTATGATTTAAAAGAAAGAGTAGAGTCCTAGAAGTAAAATTATAAAAAAGCATGAACATTTCTGAAACCAATACATATTGCCAAATTTTTTCAAGTTTTTCTTTGAAACCAATATATGCTTCCATTAGCAGTGAATTAAGGGTGGTTCTTTTACTTTTGAGTACTAAGGTTTTATACAAATCTTTGCTGATTTGTTAGTAAAGAGATGAAGGTTATATTTTAAATATGCAAATTAGTACAGACTTAAAAGAACATAGTTTAGGACTGAAATAAATCAGTATAGACGGATTTGGTGCAAATTTAAAATGTGATTGAGACTATTTGTAAAATTTAGGCTATTGCAGAAATCTTTAAAAAAGCTAGGCTAACTCAGAAAACTCAAAAAAATCCATCACTTTGGATAGGCAAGTTTTTAATATTACTAAGTCACATCTCTTTAAGTGCTACAAGTTACAAAAAACTATTTGTTATATAATTCCAGAGTATCACTGGGCAGAATTTTGATGTTTTCTTATGAGTTTGGGTCATGAATATAAAAATGAGGAATTAGCTTGTGCTTGCTCTCAGTGTTTAGAATGTACTATAAAAGTCTTAACAGTTACCATTCATTCATCCCACATGTTTACTGAGTCCCTGCTCTGTGCCAAACACTTCACAAAAGTTAATTATGATTATTTCAGCAACTCTGCCACTGTAGAAAGGTTAATTTTTTATAGATCACATAGTTGTTAAGTGGTAGAGCTGAATCTGATAATCTAATTTCATTTATCTCTATTTTATTCCTACATGGCTGTGAGTCTGCACCTTCAACAATCGCTGTACATAATATTGATTTTAAATTATCAAAAAATTAAATAATGTGCCGGATATTCTATTTCAAGCCCCAGGTTTTTGGGTCTTTAAGTTCTTGTGAGTATTTTTGTCCTTTTGCATATTAATAGATGATCACCTGTTACTTCTCACAAATATTAGCATGACTATATGTAGCAGCCCCTCCACCTCACCTCCTTATATAATTGATCCTTGAGAATGAAAGAGATGAGCTTGTCAGAATTGTGTCAGATAAGGCTAAATAGGCACAAAGTGGAGGCCTGAAAGACTCCATTGGGAGTAAAATAGTGACCTTTATTTGGTACATGGACTTTGTGTTGTGTATTTTGGATGCTTAGGGTCCTTTTAAACTTTTGGGGCTCTGTTCCCGCTTTGGAGCTGTAGGGTACTCTTCAGGCTACTGGTACACATAGCTGTCAGACACCACATTATTATCTTTCTGCCATGTGTGAAAATGTCCATAGTATTGCTTTTTTTTTAAACCTTATAGTACTGATTTATATAGTCAAATTTCCTTAATTTGTTCCATAAAAATTATGCTGTTAGATTATAATTATATATAATTATAAGCTTAGTGTAAACCAGCCACTGACTACTTGTTGCCTTAAATTTGCCATATAAAATTTTGTTTAATAGTACTTTGTTTTCTTCAAATGAGGTCAACTCTAATAATAGAGCCTGGTCATAGTAAGCGGGCAGTAAGTATTTATTGAGTCAGTGAATGGCTAGATGGGTTGGTGGATGGAAAGATGAGTGAATGAATGAATATGATTGCTATAATAAAATTAGTATAATTGACTTAGTTGTATAGATAAGGTATATTTGGCTTTTTGTGGCCATATCCAGAAAGATGGCTTTGCTACATTTGTCTAGTCCTGGTAGATGGTACCATTTATAGGAACCTAAGAAATCTACTATATGGCATACCTTAACTGGCACTGTTTTCTTTTTATACTTGCATTTATTTGTCAAACTTATTTTACGGTAATGTAGCCCTACATTATTATTCCAAATGCTAACTTTTTAGATAATTTAAATGGGTAAAAATATCATGACTTATCTCTAGTATTGATAACTCTCCAGGGTAAATTATAGAGAAAAAGGAACCTTATAATTCTTACTCAAAATTGAGAAGATAGAAAAATACTTGATGGCTAGAATAAGATGTAAGGGAAGTATAAAATGTTAACTTTTGTTGGTTTTATCACCTCCACCTTTTTATATAGTTTTTGTCTCTTTCACTAGATCTTAGGGTACTTGAAGACAGGAATATGCCACTTATTTCTTTTATATAATTTCATAGTGCCTATTTTGTATAATGCTTCATATGTTTTACGCTCAGTAAATGTTTTTCAGTGACTTCTGTCTCTAACCTCATAGCTTTAAGGTTAAATGTGCAAACTCGCCTTCCCATAATTGCACCATTTCTGATTTAAGGGAGATACCCTTTGTTCCTAGCTTTCCCAAATATAAAAGTGAAACATACCAGATAGTAAATTATCAGTGAAAATATATCTAATATATAGTTCAAGAAGGATTTTTTAGAACAAATATGCTGATTTTGGAAGTAAATTGATTGCAACTAATATGAAGTATTTTGAGGTTTCAGAGTGTAACATTGTTGTATGTATTTCTAGAATATATTGTGAGGATAAACAGACCTTCTTACAGGACTGTGAAGATGATGGGGAAACAGCAGCTGGTGGACGTCTTCTCCATCTCATGGAGGTAAGTGTGACTTAAATCCTGTTAATCCTGTCCTGTAAGCCATAAAATTTCTCAAAAAAAACAGAGCTCCACTGAGGAATAAGCAAATCAGTTAGACTATATAACAGGAGATATATTTGGTTTAATTAGTAGTTAATTTTTAAATGCTGACAAAGAACATTTTAACCACTGGATATGGAGCAGAAAGCAAAGGGTCAACAGCAAGTGTTGTGCTTTCAAGTTCTTTCAGTCTTAGACTATAGAAGGTTGTCTTCAGCTTGGGAAACCTTTGTGTTTTTTAAATTTTTTGACAGTTTCCTCCCCTTTATTTTCTCCGTTCTGTCTTTGTGAAATTCCTGTTAGTTGGATATTGGACCTTCTGGATAGATACAGAATGTTTCTTTTTTTAAGTTGTCCATCTGATTGCCTTATGTTCTGAGACATTTTCTTGATTGTCTCCTAAAGTTTCTATTGAATTAAAAAAATTTTTTAGCAACTGTGTATTTAATTGTCAAGAGTCCTTATTTTCTATTTTTTTTCTTTTTTGTAGTGCGCTGTTCTGGTTTTCTGGATGCAATATCTCCTAAAGTTTCCCGAATATACTAATTAGTATTTTGTTTTAAGATGTTCTCTCAAATTTTTTTCTGGTCCATTTTAGTTGGTTTATCTTGTCCTTTCTCTTTCATGCTGCTGGATTTTCTTCATCTGTCTGGTGATCATTGATTGCCCATTAATTTTAAGAATGGATTGTTTTTTTCCTAAGGTAGTTGGTATAGTTTCTTCTGCTATTGTATTTGGAGTTTTGTTTACTAACCTTGATAGGAACTCTGTGTGTGGGTCAGGTCTGTAGACTGGTGGGCCTCACATTAAGGGCAGCATTTGACAAGTGTCAAACTTAGGAAGACCTTACTGGTAGGCACCAGTGATTACTCATGCAGCCCCAGTTCTGTCTAGTAGTTTGTTTAGAAGCAGGGCCTGTGTTGTTTGGCCTAGGGGTAAGGCTACCTAAACAGCTTTTCTGGTTGAAGTCACCAAGAACTGGACCTTACCTGCATGATCTCCTCTTCCCTCTGCCCTGTTGCCCCAAAGTTTGGAATTTGAGGACACTGGAGCACAGCGTTTGTTTTCCAAATTCCCTTCTCATTTCTAACATTCTACCCCCTGAATTGTTAGTAATCTCACTCTGCTTATTCATGTGGGTCTGCCATTCAAGTCATGGGGAAATTTTATGTGCAATTTTATATATGGGTTATTTTATTTGCTTTTAACACTCACATTTGTATATGTCTATATGTGTATCTAATTATGCTTCTGAAAATAACAGATTTTGAATGTGAGAAATGTCCTGGTGGTAGTATCACGCTGGTATGGAGGGATTCTGCTGGGACCTGATCGCTTTAAACATATTAACAACTGTGCCAGAAACATACTGGTGGAGAAGAGCTACACAAATCCGCCAGTAAGTGGTCATTGATGCTTTATCTACAGAGCTCCTCACCACTGCCTGGGAAATTAAAAAAAGAAAAAAATTAAGAACGAATCAGAATTTGTGTGGTGCATTAGAAGAACCTTTGGACTAGGAAACTGGAGACTTAGCTTCTAATCAAAACCATGTGACTGGCCAGCTGTCTGACCTTGGGAAGATGACTTCATCTCAAATCCTAATTTCATACATTCATAGAGTTTTATAAAAACCTTAAAGATCAATTAGTTTCCAGTCCCTAATCCTGAGGCCCAGAGAGGTTGCAGCTGATGCACCAGTGAACTAGATATTCGTTAAACATCTATAAAATTCCAGCATTTTCTGTTATTGTCAAAGCGTCTCCTCTTTTCGCTGGCATGCCTTTAGATGCCTCCTTCCTTTATATTTTGAGGGGTTTTTGTTTTATAATTATGTTCATTTCTATTGTATTTAAGCTCAGCAGCCTTACTTTAGAAAATGGACAATAGTTCAAGTAATGTTGAAATTATTTAAACATAAGTCTGTTAGATAAATGAGTGTTTTCCTTGATTATCCTTAATTATTTTGTAAATATATAAATAGACAGTAAATGAAAGTGCTGTATAAAACAGAAAGATGATACCTATGGACGTAATTATACTTTCACTATTATACGTATTCTATCTCATTAGATTTAAGTTCCTTAAGTTAGTATCTTCATGTAAATGGGGGGATACTACATTGATTTTTGTCTTTTTTCAGGAGGAATCTTCTAAGGCTTTTGGAAAGAACAAAAAAGTAAGAAAGGACAAGAAGAGGAGTGAACATTAATACCTGATACTATTTGAAAGGTTAATTTGCCTATAATTATATACAAATTCCACACTCATCAAAGAATATATTGTGCAGAGAGGGGATCCTGGACTGCTCAAGTCAGCCAATACATCATGGACACCAACATTATCTTTTCTTCTTTGGTTATATCATCTGCCAAAAATAGAGAACTTGTGATATATTCATATGTGTTTCAGGCTGATTTGGAAGACTAATTTGAACTTAATCACCATTTCACCTAATTTTAGGGAGGTAACAGTTGCCCAGGGCAGTACCTGAATTAACTGTCTATTTCAGTACATGTCAAGTGCCTTTGTTAGGTGGGGAAGAAAGGTCTCTGGAGGAATATGAATACCTGATTTCTTGTCATCGGAATTCTCATTTTGTTAAATGAATATTGCCTTTTACTGCTCTTTATGGCTTATTGGAATAGGAGCTCACTGAAGATTGATTTTGGAGAGTTTCTTCTTGTGATTTTAGTTCATAAGTATGTCACCTTCTGTTTTATAGTGTTCATCATTGAGTAATGGGTGAAGTGAAAGTTCAGGTGTATCCATCTGCAGCTATGTGCTGAAGTAATTCATCTAACGTATTTGTTAGCATAAGTGTTATACCTCAATTTTGTTGCAGATTGGTGATTGTGAAATTTCAAAAAGTGATTTTCTAGCCTCTGCCTTTTTTGTTTAACTCTTGTAATGTGAAGCAATGGGTGTGGGATGTCAGTAGTCTCCTCCCGCCCCTGAAGTGTGTTGGTGTCATATTCTGGTTTCTTTAACAACCTGGAAGTACCTTTCTTGTGATCATTGAGGAATTAGAACTGTGCTAGAAGCTAAGCTGTGGTTACTGAGACATAAATGGGCTAGAGGTGGCAGAGTGACAGGGGTGGGGCAAGGGTATGTTGTGTCATTACAGAAGTGTGATGCTCGTTTCCCACCTGCATTCCAGCCATTTCTCTCAAGTCCGTGACTGGAGAGAAGGAGCAAAACTTTTGACTGGGAAAGCAAATCGTCCTGTTCATCGGTGTTTGTCTCCCTTCTTTCCTCTGCAAGTTCTGTGATTTAGCTCTAGGCATCTAGACAATAAATTTACCTTCGAGATACGACAAGTCATTAACTGCTCCCTTTCAGATATGATCACAAACAGTTATTAAAAGTTAATTGATCACAGATTTACCTGAGACTCCCTCCCACAGAGAGGGAGCAGAAATAGGAGCACGGAAAGCATCAAAGAGAAGTGGACACAGACAGGTGTGATTTTTTTTTTTCTTCCTATTCTGTGATGTTTTACCTTTAAAAAAAGTTCAACATCCTTATTTGGTATTTTTAATAAGAATCTGGTAAAGAGCTTTACACTACGGTTGGATTCTGAGAAGTAAGATCTAAATTATATGTTTAATGTTGCCAGTTACCAAGTGCCACCAGAGGATGACATATGTATTTAGGACACATCAGATTCCATGAAAAATTAAGTATGTCCTATAGTAAATTAAAAATATTGAAATTAATAACTATTAATTAACATTAAAATAATTGCACAGTTTTGGCATATCAAACCTGTGATAGAAGATATAAGCAGTAAGAATTTGGTGCTGCAGAAAAATAAATGAGTTCATTTTTCTGTACCACCAAATTTGAATTTCTTGCTGATTTATCTAATATGTATTTGGGCTTTTATAGAAAACCTTTATATCTGGAATCTCATTTTTCTTTATTTAAAACAATCCTATTTTTGCTTCTTTCTACAAAATTATCAACCACATTTTCCTGACTAAAAAGCCTCATCTCCTTTGCCTAAAGTTCAGTTAGTGAATAAGGAGGGATCTGAACACCTCTAATTCTGGAGCCTGAGGTATTTCACACTAATTATGTGGACCCCTAACTAATAATAGTATTTGTTTTTCTCTATTTAAAAATGTATCTCGATCAGAGGATTTTCAAATCTCCAAATATTTTTCTATAGCCAACTCTATGTGGTGGCATATTTTATAGTATATTGTATCAAACATATTGCCCATATGCCAGAATATAAGAGCAGGTAGCATCTACTTTTTAAGTGGGAATATCAGTATGATTTGAAGGAATATAACATGGAATAGAGCCTATTTGAAGAGAACTGTATTAAACTAATCACAACTAAGAAAGAATAGCATGAAGCAGATACTGTTTGTAGAGGTGAAATTTATTGGGAAAATTGTATAATCGCCTCTAATTCCACTATCTAGAGATAACCATTAGTAACATTTGGTATGCACATCCTTCTATTTTTTTCCTATGCATGATTTTGTACATATGCTATTTTTCTTTCCATAAAAATGGTATTACACTGTATATACTGTTTTGTATCTTGATATTTCATATAGAAGTATATTGTTAACATTTTCCCATTTCAATAAATATTATTCTATGGCTTAATTTCTTATGGCTACATCATATTCTGTCTTCTGGGTATATCATAATGTACTAACTAGTTATTGCTTATTTCCAATTTTTAAGTTTTTTCCAAGTTTTCACTATTATAAACAACTATGAAAAAAATCATTGTATGCAGACTTTTATATATTATCTCTGGCTATTTTCTTAGGAAAAATTCCTAGAAGTGAAATTTCTTGGTTAAAAGTTTGCACTTTCTAATAACTTGATTGGTTTAGCCAAATCACTCTGTAGAAAAGTTTATCAGCTATACCCCCATTAGCATTGTGCTAGAATATACAGTACTTAGAATACTAATCAAAGATGTGGGAAAATAGGCAGTCTGGTAGGTAAAAGTACTACTGTGTTGTTGTTTTTTTACCTTTTTCGTTGTTCTCTCCCCAATTTCTGACATCAGAATTAATTTGGTCTGTTTTGACTTATATAAGTTCAAACACACACTATATACCCTTGTTTATGCTTCTTTAGTTACAATATTTTGTGGGATTCATCTGGTTTATTGCATGTAGGAGTTCTTTTTTTTTTTTTTTTTTTTTTTTCACTGCATAGTATTCCATTGAATGGCTATGACAACTTACCAGTTCTGTTTATGGATATTTGGGTTTCCAGTTTGAGGCTATTATAATTAGTGCTGCTATGAATGTTCTTTTTTGCACATGGCTTTTGGCCAACATATATACACATTTCAAAGCATGCATACCTAGAAATGGATTTGGTGAGTCATAGGATATGTATATGTGGAGCTTTAGTGTAAATTTACCAATGGTGTGCTGGTAAATTTTAAATAACTAGCTCTGGGGTAGGTGCTGATTTATAACGTGTGCCAGTTCTTGTGGTGTGAATATCCCCATTCTGTCCAATTTCAGGCTACCAATGTGAAATCAGCTGGCTCACAAAATTCCTTAAAATTTAAGTCACTTCTTGTGAGCTCCAGCACCCATAACTTATACTGCCAGGAAGTCTTCCAAACTAATTAGAGCTACTTAACACTCCTTACCAGCAGTGAATGAGAGTTCTAGTGGCTGCACATCCACATTTGGCATTACTCGACTCTCCTTTTTAGTGGGCCATGTGGTTTGTAGTGGCATCACTTTGTGGTTTTTATTTGCATTTCCCTGATAACTAATGAAATTGAACACCTTTGGTTACTACATTTTATACCTGAAGTGACTGAATAATCTTATAATGACACATTTCCCACCCCACCCTCTTCCAGGAATGGAAATAATGGAGGTTTGTTATCAAGTTTGATTTTGATTCAGACATAGAGCTAAGGTTGCAATTTTGCATATCTGAGCACCTAGTCTGTAAATTTCAGCACTTTGTCACCATCCCCTGGGATACTAAGTAGGTGAATTTATAGGACACTTAATCTTTTTTTGCTCTTAGTTTCCTAATTTGTAAAAATGTGGATGATTCCTCCCTCTCTGAGATATTATGGGGATTAGATGAGGTACCTTCCATAGTGCTTAGTATATGATAAGCATCCAGTAAAGCTATCAAGTACATATTATCTTTTCCTCACTCTTTATGGGAGAACGTTCCTACCTATTATTTAAGATGGGCTGTTTCTGAGGATTTTAACAGAACCTAGAATTTTAACTTGACATTGAGGTTACCAAATTCTTAGACTCTTCTAGGGAGGCAGTATAGCATGGTAGCAAGTTATCTAGTTTCTCTGCATTTAGTTTTGAAAAGCTTAAAGAGCTGAGCAGGCCATGGGTTGGTACTGAAAGACTGCTTAGTTATGGAGATGCAGTGGAGAACTCTGAATCTGTTAAAGAGTATAGAGCAAGAGTTGGCAAACTTTTTTCTGTAAACAGCCAAATAATATATATTGTATGCTTTATGAGCCATCTCTCTCTCAGCTACTCAGTCTATTGTAGTGTGAAAACAGTCGTAGACAACATGTACACTTATAATAGCATAGCTGTGTTACAATAAAACTTTATGGTTACTGAAATTTGAATTTCGTATATTTTCATGTATCATGAAATAGTCTTAATTTTTTCAACTCTAAATATGTATAAAGGAAAACAGTCTTCCTGTGTATCTTCTCTATTTTCAAAAACTTTACAGAATATGTCACTTCTGACACTAGATGTGTAGGTTTTTCACATATCAAGCAATTTCTGTGAAACCAATTCAATTCAGTTCTGACACTATCTACCTGGAGATAGCATCAGATCTCACAGGTTAAGGGGCTCAGTCCTACAAGACTTCCCCTTGCCCCTATATCAAATGTCAATGTCAAGTTGGTCTGTGCTTCTGACCAACTGACCATAGATTGGAGGTTCCCACAACCCCCTCCTCAGTTGATTAATTTGCTATAGTGGCTCACAGAACTCAGGGAAATACCTTACTAGTTCACTGGTTTATTATAAAAGGAAACAGCCTGATAGAAGAGATGCATAGGGCAAGGTATGTGGGAAGGGGCATGGGGCATCCCTGCTCTCTCTGGGCTTCCCACCCTCCCTGCATCTCCATGTGTTCACCAACCTGGAAGCTCTCCAAACCCCATCCTTCTGGGTTTTTATTGAGGCTTAATACGTAAGCATGATTGATTAAATCATTGGCCATTGGCAATTGAGTCAGTCCTCAGCCTCTTCCCTCTCCTTTCCTGAGCTGGGGTGGGCCTGAGAATGCCAATCTTCTAATCACTGTTTGGTTCCCCTGGCAACTAGCCCCCACCCTTATGGGATTTCCAAAAGTCACCTCATTAACTTAAACTCAGGTGTGGTTGAAAGGGGCTTGTTAGGAATAACAAGACACCCCTTTTACCTTTATGGCTCTAGAGCTATTTCAGGAGCCAATGACTAAAGACCAAATATTAGAGCAAAAGATTCTCCTGGTGCTCTTATCACTTAGGAAATTCCTAGGGTTCTAGGAATGCTGTTCAGGAAATGGGGCTGAAGACCAAATATATATTTCTAATTATAAATGACAATATCACAACACATAAAACTAATTCTTAGCTCAGGGGCCAAACTATGGTGTGTGAACCAGAGTTGGTCCACCCCTGGTGGAGACCAGATAGAAAGAGAGAGGCAAGTTAAGAAGTATAATGCTAGTACATAGGATCTTGGTTTCTGAGCCTAGGGAAGGGTTGTTTTTCTTTTTCCCCCATTTAACCCATGTTTTGAGTTGTATACTGTTAGGGGAATAATAAAGGTAATTTGTATATCGGGACCCACAAAAATGGAGGCTGCCCCAGTGTTCTGGCCCACATCACAAATCTAAACCTAAGTCAGCCTGCACTCAATGGGAAACACCTATCAAGGAGACCTAACTTGAACCAATCACAGTCCTCCAACTCAGCTTTAGCCAGCTTACCTTACCCTAGAAGATAGGACCTGCTAGCCGCCTAAGGAAATCCCTGACCTCCTAGCCAATCGTGCCCTGTTTCCACCTTGCCTCTTCCAACATTCTGTAAAACTCGCTCTTGCCTAAAAATCCTTGGGAAGAGTGGTCCCTCTGCTTGTGAGGCACTGTACTCCCCCAACCCATGCATTGTTTTTCCTTGAACAAAGGGCATTAAACTCATTACCAAATAGTAGTATTTTTGTCATTTGACAGACAAGACATAAATCACAAGTATGTGTTTGTGATCAAGGAAAAGTAGATCTGGACATCAGACTTGGATTTAAATTTTAGTTCCATGCCTTGGACATGGAAGTCATTTTGGACAAGTTACTTAACTTCTTTGAGCCTTAGTTTCCTCATCTGTAAAATGGGTCTAATAATCCTTCCTCATAGGATTTTTGGAGGGTGGAATGAAATGAGATAATGTGTGAAATGTCACTAGCCTAAAGCTTCACACACCGTGAGAACTCAATAGGTGATGGTTAGTATGTTTCTCATTGTAAAAGAAGTGAAATCACATTAGGCTGTAATCAGTAAGAACCTTAGTGTTGAAGAGTAGCTGAACATGCCACCCTAAAATATGTCTTTTGATATAGGATTATTTTGAGCTGATTATTTCAAGAAACTGCAGACAAAACAGGAGCTCTGAGAAGAGTAGAAGTTAGCCTCTAGAAAGGGTAATCTACCTTCATAAATGAACTTACATTAGAAAGGGGGCCTGCACCAGGAAGAGAGCTGTTACCCACACGACTTTCCAGCCGGTGCAAGGCTGGGCAACCTTTGCTTAGCAAAGAGCTCCTCCTCCACTTTCCCCTCAATCGCCTCCCCTCCCATTCTCACTCTAACCTCTCTCTTTTGTATTTAGATGAAGGTAGTATTTAAAGTTGAGGCTTGCTGGGAAATTTGGTAGAGACGGTGCCATTTAAGTCAAACCTGGCTCCCTGACTGGGAAGCTGGTTCACTGCCACTGAGACGCCCTTGGCCCCTTCTGGCTGTTGCCCTGTCATCTTACTTGTTTCCGTGGTGCCCTTGGGCAGCTGCTTGCAGAATGCCACCCGCCTGGATGTAAGGCTTTGGTTCTGGCTGGCCTGACTCATTGGGTTNGTTTCTGTGGTGCCCTTGGGCAGCTGCTTGCAGAATGCCACCCGCCTGGATATAAGGCTTTGGTTCTGGCTGGCCTGACTCATTGGGTTGGACACAGGAGAAGCCAGACCTCAGAGAAACTGGATTTCCTAAGGAAAGAACCTATAGAAACTTCCTTGACAAGAAAAAGGCAGTGACCAAACAAGCATTAGGGGATGATCCCAAGTCAAAATGTGGCCACTCTTTGGAGCCCAGACAGGAAAGTCAGTCGGGAAACCAGTAGTGGCCCTAGGAAGAAAAAGCGCTGGCTTGCACAAGGCTGTGGTGCTCACATGTGTGGGGGGTGTGATGAGACGTCCCAGAGGGGCCTTCCCTCCTTTCAACAAGAGCCCCTCTGTATTGTCAAGTACAGCAGCACACCTTGAAGCCAAGGGGTGATTTAGCTTTAAAGGTGAAAGAAGGGATGTTGGCAGGATTGAATACCTTGTCAGAGGTAAACTCTAGAACAGAAGAAAAATGCGAGAGGTTTGAACTAGATGTTTAAATTGCATCATTCTGGAGGAGAGAGGCTGTTCCATGACATGACTGTTGCCAGACCCATGAACTAGATCCAGGCTGGATCAGAAATTGCTTCCCATAAATCCCCTCAGAGACGGTGTGATCAGCTTTCTCCCCTACGCCTCTCGCATGCTGGTTCCTGGAATGGCCATTGCCCTGCTCTGGGCAAGCTTGTAAGATAAGACATTTTCCTTTATCTGGGGTGGGTTATGCACCAGTACTTCTGTCCATCCTGCCCTGTTCTATGTATAATTCTTTAGCACCTGCCCAGAGGTGCAGAGGATATTCGCTTCCTCTTACTGACACCCAAGATGTACCTCGTATGTAGGTTTCCCTTAATAAACTCTGTTAATTGCCAGACTGGAGTGGCCTGCTTTTTTCTTTCCCTGCCTTCTGCTTATGGAGGTAGATTTTCAGTCTTGGAGATTTTCCCTGAGTCTGTGTGTATGAACAATCATGGAAAAGAAAACAGAAAGAATGTAGAGCCCCAAGAAAAATAAGACCATAGTATGGATAAATTAGGCATCAATGTTGATTGACTCTTTGGAAGAAATTTTTCTTCTTTTAAACCCCATATTTCTTTCCCATTTTTTGTTTTTTCGATTTCTGATTCTAGTAATAAAATGTTTTAAAACTAATGGGACTCATTGAATATGACACCAAAAGCACAGGCTAGAAAAGTAAAGGTAGATAAATTTGACTATAAAATAAAATAAAAACTTATTTTCCCCCCCATTGATTCTAGAAAGAGAGGAAGGGGGAGTGTGAGAGAGAAACACTGATCTGTTGCCTCCTGTATACACCCCAACCACAGGATCGAACCTTTAACCCAGGTATGTGACCTGACCGGGAACTGAACCTGAGACCCTTCAATGCACGGGACAACGCTCTAACCACTGAGCAACACTAGCCAGGGCAAAGACTCTCTTTCCATCAAAGGATACAGTCAGCAGAGTTAAAAGGCAATCTATGTGATGTGAGAAAATATTCATAAACGATATATCTAGTAAAGGGTTAATCTCCTTTGGCCTTATTGCTGTAGCTCATGCCTGCTGACCTCCCACCTGCCAGCATCTGCGGTTGTTTATTTAGATTACTAATCAGTGTTGTCTGGATTCAAATGGGTATATATTCCCATGGTTTTCTTCCTAACTCATGTCTTCAATGATAGCTCTATCCTGTGAAACTGGAATCAAAAGACACAGCCACATTCATATTATTCCATAGAGTTATAGTCAGAGCATCCATCTGTTCCTCCATTTTGAGAAAACAGACCACTCTTGGGGTATATGTGTACTCACTGGGCTGGCTGTTGTCCTGCTTACTTCTTGGTTATTCAAAAGAGGTGATTTTGGCAACCAAGTTCTTCACCCAGTGGGCATCGGAGTCAAAGCTAAGAGAGAATAACATTCTTTTGCTTCATGCTTCTCTTAAGGCACCAACACTATATTAGATTTTCCATTTTGTAACACCCATTTATTAGCTCCCCTCCCCTCAGCAATAATTTCACTTTCGTTCCATTTATTATTAAGACACTGGGCTGGGCTGAATGGCTGGTAGCAAATTGAGATATTGCTGAGTTCCCCTTTGGTCTAGTCCCAGTTGATGGGATTATCTATTCCAGGAGGCAAAAACAAGGATAACAATCAGTCCCAATTTAGCAATTTAGAAAATTCATTCTATTATCTCTTTCACATTTTTGCTTTTAGGTTCAAATTAACACACACATTACCTTGTTTTAGAACAATACCAGACTTTGGGAGCTCTGGTTTTAGGGACTGTGAGATCCACCACTGAAGAAGAAAATCATGGTGAAGAAACACTTGTATGTAAATTACATCCCTTATCACTCTCCCTCTAATTCTACCACAAAAGTGTAATCATCTGTCTAATGGAAACCCACTTCAGTCTTCCTCTGCAGCAGAGCCCTGTCCTGTACTCTCCGACTCTCAGACCATTCTCCCCACCCAGGGAACCTGCTGGCCTCCTCCTGGATGTCCCCTCTTGCTCTGTGCCCTGGAAACTCAAGACAGTAAGCCGAGCCTGGCCAGGTGTGGCTCGGTGGTTGAGCATCGACCTATGATCCAGGCGATCTCAGTTTGATTCCCTGTCAGGGCACATGCCTGGGTTGGGGGCTTGACCCCCCCAGTAGGGGGCGTGCAGGAGGCAGCTAATCAATGACTCTCATCATTGCTGTTTCTCTCTCTCTCTCTCTCTCTCTCTCTCTCCCTCCCTCCCCTCCTTCTCTCTGAAATCAATAAAGACATATGAAGAAAAAAAAAGACAGTAAGCTGGGGCAACTGCAGGTCTCGCTGAATTTTCTTCTCTCATCTGGACAATCGCTAAGTGCAGTGCCTTGAAAGCCATTGTTTCATATATGTTGTCGTTTTTTTATTGTTTCAGATAGGATGGTGAATTTAGCCCCTGTTATTTTGTCATGATCAGAAGAGACTGTTTAATTGGCTCTATATTAGTTTTAAGAATGAATCGCATTTGAGTCCAATTTACTGCCTATATAATGCATCAGATATATAATATTGCTCTCTATTAATGGGAGATGGATGAAACACATTAAAATGTTTAAGGTAAAAATTTTACTGTCTTTTGGAAGTTTTTTCTTTTTAGTGTCATAAAGGAAACTATTATGACAAGTTTCCTTTTCAAGAACCAGGAAGTAAGTACTGCAATCAGTACTTAAATCTTGAAAAACATGTTATAAATAAAAGACTATATATACTAGTTTTACGAGTAGACATATACTTGTCAGAGTTGCCTTGCTATATTGAGCTTCATCATTTGATGTGATGTCAGCTACTAATAGCACAACTACTTTAGCACTAAGTACTAGCATTGCTTTAGCATTTTTAATGGGCTTACTAGCTTTTGCTATAATGCTAGGAAATGCCATTGTCATTTTGGCTTTTGTGGTGGACAAAAACCTTAAACATCGAAGTAATTATTTTTTCCTTAACTTGGCCATTTCTGACTTCTTTGTTGGTAAGTTACATCTCTTTATTTAACATAATCTTTTTCAATTATAATTTATTTCTAAAACCTTAAAATAAGCTTTGGTTATTTCAAGGGACTGTATGAAATTGGGAATGATTAAAAACAAAAAGTTTAAGGATTAAAGCTCAAGGGAATTTATATGGCACTTTAGGGAACTATTTTATATATGTGTGTGTGTGTGTGTGTGTGTGTGTGTATCAGGTTTGTAAGGAAAATTTTCATCTGAAAGCAGTTTATTATCTTTTTATAGAATAAAGATAAGTTTAGAATATTTCCAAAATTGTTTAAGAGTTGTTTCTGAAGCTTTTTTTTTTTTTTTTTTT